TCTTACATTTATTTACGAATTTCTTTAATTGCAAAATTATTCAAAAACATCAATAACTTCTTTTTTAAAATAAATATTTAATTATTATTATTTTTTCCATAGGAATTAAAATTCTTCAAAAGATTCAAATTCAAAACTTTTTGAAATTAAACAACTTATAAAAAATTGTTATAAAAAATGTTCGACAGATAAAATAATTATTTTATATTATAAGAATATTGTTATTGTAACTTCTTCAAAATTATTTTAATATTTAATTATTATATAAAATGTTAACTAAAATTCATTTTTAAATCAATTTTTATTAGAAAATTCTACGAGAATTCAATTATTTAAATGCAAAAGTAAATTATTTATTGAATAATTGAATGTTTCTTAAAATGTAATTCTTATAAAGAATTTTATTATCAAATTTTTAAATAATTTATTTCTTTTGACGTTTTATTATTTATGAAAATAATTGAATTATTATGTGATGAAATTGAATAAATAATTGAATTCTTGGGAAATTTTTATTATTTATGAAAATAATTGAATTAATGCGAAAAAATTTAAAAAAAAATTGTAAATAATTGAATTATTGCGATGATAATTATAAAAAAAATGGTAAATAATTGAATTCCTGTGGAATTTTTATATTTATGAAAATAATATAATTAAATGTTTACGTAGAATTTTATTATAATTTTTAAAATAATAATTGAATTCTTTTGGAAAATTTTATTAAAAAAGTTGATATTGAAAACCATATTGAATTGAGGAAAATTTTTGAAAATAATTGAATTCTTTTGACCAATTTTAATAAAATTTTTTAAGAATTGTTACATTTTTCAAGGAATTTGATTAAAATTGTATTAAAAATAATTGAAATTCTTGCGATCAGTTTTATTATTTATGAAAATAATTGAATTATCGAGAATAGATTTATTATTTACGAAAATAATTGAATCCCTGTGAAATTTTTATTCTTCATGAAAATAATTGAATTATTGCTAAGAAATTTGTAAAAAAAAATTTGTGAATAATTGAGTTCCTGTAAAATTATAATTATTTATGGAAATAATTAAATGTTTGCGTACAATTTAAAAAGAAATTTTTTAAATTGTTTTTCTTTTCGGTAGTTTTATTAAAATAGTAGAGATATTGAAAATTATTGAAATGAGGAAAATTTTTTAAAATAATATTTCAATTTTGAAGAAGGATTTTTTGTTTGTTTATAAAGATAATAATTTGGATTTTGTCGAGATTTTTTTTGTAAATTTTGAACTTGTAATTGAATTTAGTGATAAGAATTTTATTACTTTTGAAAATAATTGAATCTCTGCAATAATTTCTAACTTTTTAAAATTCAATTTTTTTTAGTGTTTTAACTAAAATTTTTCTATGAATCCATTATTTTTAATAATTAATTAAATATATATTGTCAAATTTAACTAATTTTAGAAGATTTTGAATTATTAAATTTTTTCAAAAATTTAACTTCTTTAAAATTTCTTATTATAAATTCATTCAAAATTGAAATTTTATAAAATTTAAAATTAAATCCTTTTGAAGTTCAATTATTTATGAAAATTGTAAACGCAACTCTTTTAAAATTGAATTTATTTTGAAATATTTTAGTAAAATCATTCATTTAATAATTTATAGATCATTATTTCATGATAGTTGTTCAAGATTTAAGTTTTTTAAAAAGAAATTATTGTCAGAAATTGAAAAAAGAAGGTTTTGTATTATTATTTTTGGTAATTTCATAGTTTATGAGGCAAAGAAAAAAGACACAAAAATTCAGAATTTTTTTATGAATTCTAAAAATTGTTTTTTTAGTACTTTTAATAGAAATCTCTCATTTTTTCCTGAATTCCCTGTATCAGAATATATGATTATTATATAGTTATAATAATATTAAAACTATTTTCCAATTTATATTTTATTTTTATGAAAATAAATTTAATTTAAAAATTTTTACGTTGTATTACGTTTAACAATTTTTAAAATTTGCTAATTTTATTTTAAAAAGTGAGTAAAAAGTTAGCAGCGCGAATTGTTGCTAGTTATAACATTATTTTCAACTACGAAATAAACAAAACACTGTCGAATTAACTATTTTTCGTGAAAATTTCACGAATTCTAACCCAACTATAGAAATAAAATAATTTTTATAAAAATATTATTAATTTTTAATTTAATTTCTTCGTTTAGTCCACGTTTATAATTTAATTTAAATTATATTTTTTCTACATAAAGCGAAGATGTAGATTAATTTTCAAAGTGAAAAAAAAAATTCACGAAAGATGATAATTTATCGAAACGAAAGATATTTGCTTTATTTGCTTTTTTTCTTGTTTTTCCGTTTTTGAAATAGTTTACTGGTTTTGCAAATAAAAAAAAAGTAATGTTTCGTTTTACATATGGTAGATATATAGTGAAAAAGTATATAAATACAAGAACTAGTTGGGAAAAAGAGAGATATATATACAGGGTGTATATGTGCATCGCTTTACTTCGCGTCGTCCTTTCGTTCATTCACCTGGGACCAGGGACCTTGGTTTCCCTGTAGATGATATTGAACGAGACCAAGTGAGAGAGAGAGGAAATGAGAAATGGCAGCGGAGTGGAGGAAAAAGGAAGAAAGTTTTTCAAGGTTACACGGAAGAAAAAGAGATATTATATACCTACGTAAATTCTACGTCACACAATTTACCTTTGTCTTTTGTTCTAGAAAATATCGATTATAAACTCTCTATACGATTTTTTTTCTCCTCTCTCCCTTTTTTATTCATCATAATACATTTTTTCACATCCATGACATTTTCCATATATAGAAAGAGAAAAAAAAAGAGAAAAACTTTTATCGATTTTTCCACTTTATTGAGAGTGAAAAAAAATTATTGTTCCATTTTTTAATTAATTGAAAATTATTATTTTTCAATAAGAAATTATTATTTATTCCATTTTTTATTCAGTTAGAAATTTCTATTTCATTTTTCATTCAACTAGAAATTATTATTATTCCATTTCTTATTCAATTAGAAATTATTATTATTCAATTGTTTATTCAATTAGAAATTATTATTATTCCATTTCTTATTTAATTGTTATTTGTATCAAATAAATTTTCTTTTGGAAAAACTTTTTTTTGTAGAAACTAGAAAAAAATTTTCAGGACTTTGCTACAGCCTTATATTATTTTTTAGTGGTGAAAAAAAAAATTTTTAATGTAGTATTTATTTTATAGATTATTTGAAAATTATCGGACATTTTAACTTGTCGTGAGAATATCAAAGAAAAATACAAAAACGATGAGAAAGTGTAGTTAGTTCCAGGGGTATATATATCTCAGACAAGCCTTGTTAAAACCCTTTGAACGTAAATCTTTTTAACTAATGCATTCCCTTGACACAAGAGCTAACTTATTTCAAACAGAATCAAACTTGTTTCTCTTATAAAATTTATTGACAGTATTAAAAAAATTAGAAACAAAAATTTTTTTTTACAATTTTTAACATTTTTATTCAATAATAAAAATAAATATAATATATCTGATAATTAATAATATAAAATAATCAATATTTACAATAATATTCGATTATTTAATATTTAAGTTATTATAATATGAATAAAATAATAAATAGAATTTTTTAATTATTTATACATTTCAACGAACTTACAAAAATATTTTTAAAAAAATTAACAAATAAAAATGAATAAAATAATTATTAAATTATAACTTTTCTAAATTTATGTATATTTTTTTCTGTTCTAAAAAGAAGACAATTTTAGAAAAGTTATAATTTAATAATAATCATTTTATTTATTTTTTAATTTATTTTTATAATTATTTATTTATTTATTTAAACGTACAATTAAAAAATTATAATTCCATTTTTGTAATAAAATTTTTGAACTGGTGTTTAAAAATTTTATTACAAAAATGGAATTATAATTTTTTAATTGTACGTTAATATTAAATGTAAATATTAAATAATTAATATTTACAATAATATTCAATTATTTAATATTTAAGGCATTATAATAAATACAATAATAAATAAATTTTTTTAATAATTCACACATTTCAACGAACTTACAAAAATATTTTTTAAAAAAATAATAAAAATAATAAAAAAAAATGAATAAAATGATTATTAAATTATAACTTTTCTAAATTTATGTATATTTTTTTTTATCCTAAAAAGAAGCCAATTTTAGAAAAGTTATAATTTAATAATCATTTTATTCATTTTTATTTATTATTTTATTTTTTAATTTATTTTCATATTTATTTATTTATTTAAACGTACAATTAAAAAATTATAATTCCATGTTTGTAATAAAATTTTTTAATTGTACGTAATAAATAAATAAATAATTATGAAAATAAATTAATAAATGAGAAGTAAATACAAATTTAAGAAAATAAATATAAAGTGAATATTAAAGTAAATTTATAAATAAGAAGTAAATAAAACAAATTAACTAATTAAATAAAAATTATAAATAAAAAATGAATTAACAAAAAAAAATTTAATTAATAAATAAAAAGTACATAAGAAAATAACTAATAAATAAAAAGTATAAATAGAATAAATTAATAAAAAAATTAATTAAGAAAGTAAATTATAAAATTAATTATAGTAAACAAATGGTAAATATAAAAATAAATTATTGATTAAAAAGAAAATATAAAAGGAAATTAATAAACTAAGAAGTAGAATTTTTTTTTTTTTTTGAAATGCAAATTTATTAATCTCTCGAAATTAACAGTCTGTTTCTCCACACACACACACACGCGCGCTCAATTCCGTCAGTCTATTCAGGACACGAAAAATCATCATTTTCTGACAAAGATATTGAAAAATAATTTCAAAATTTTGAAATTAAAAAAAAATTTTCAATATCCATTTTCATACATGAAATAATAATGACACTATTTTTTCGATGATTAGTCCTAAAAACTACCAACATTGACTCATCGACAATCGACAAATTTTGTTTTTGTCAAATAAAATTTTCATTTTCAAAAAAAAAAAAAAAAAAAAAATTGTAAAATTTACAAATAAGTCAGGTTTGATGATTTTGGATGATGACAGGGAGGATTTTTTTTATTGTCGAATTTAGTGCAAATAGATGGGCTGGTTGTAAGCAAGGCCATAGGAGTATGTAAGTGGAACGGAATGTAGAACTGGAGCCGCACTGTGAACGATGGAATTTCCGTGAGCTTCAATGGTTTTTTCTCCTAAGAGTGAGACTCCTGCGACTCCATGAACGGCGTATGGGGCTGCTGCGTGCACCACACTATTTCCATGAGATTCAATTACTTTTTCCGACACAATATCAGAAATGATGGGAGAGAAAATTGCTCCTGGCTTGGCGACAACAACAGCCGCGAGGCACAACAAAGCTACCTGAAAAACGGAAGCAAACATTTTTTTATTATCCACTCAATTAAATAGAGAAATTAAATTAAATTCCTTTTTTTTGTATTTAATTCTCAATTTTATTTATTTATAATATTTTTACTTTTTTCATAATAATATGACAATAATAACAATATTTTTTTCTCCTTTTCTTTACTCTACAAGTTCTGTACTAATAACAATTTTTTTTATTCAGAAAATTTTTTGTTTTCTATTTGGTTAAAAAAATTCTAATAATTAAAAATATAGTCATTATTTTTTAATAAAATGTAATTGTTTTGTACGTAGGTCCTTTTTCCTTACAAAATAATTGAAATTAATTCAAAATAATAATAATTGGAAACTAAAAGCAATTATTTATTTTTGTGATAAACTTCAATTGTTTTGTATTTGGTTCTTTTTTATTATAAAATAATTGAAAAAAAAATTAAGAATTGAAAATAATAATCAATTATTTTTAATAAAATTGAATTATTTTGTATTTTAGGCCCCTTATTGCAAAATAATTGAAAATAATTGAAAATAATTGAAAATAATTGAATATAATAATAATTGAAAACTGAAAAAACAATTATTTATTTTTTGTAATAAAATTCAATTGTTTTGTATTTAGGCTCTTTTTATTATAAAATAATTCAAAATTTAAAATAATCAATTCATTTTCAATACATTTAAATTATTTTATATTTAGTTGCTTTTTATCATAAAATAATTGAAAACAATTAAAAATTGTAGATAATCAATTATTTTTTTAAAAAATGTACTTATTTTTGTATTTAGGCCCTTTTTACAAAATATTTCAAACCATTTGGAAACTGAAAATAATCAACTATTTATTCTTTGTTATAAAATTCAATTGTTTTTAATTTGGTCCTCTTTATTATTAAATAATTGAAAATAATGAAAACTACAAATAATTTAAATTAAAAGTACCTAATTAAAAATTAAAGATAATCAATTAACTATTTTTTAATAAAAATTTAACTATTTTATTTATAAACCTTTTTTCATTACAAAACTAATTAGAAATAATTAAATTTTAAAATAATTAAAAATTGAAAGTAATCAATTAATTGGTTTTAACGAAAATTAAATTATTTTATGTTTAGGCCCTTATTGTAAAAAATTAATTAAAAACTGAAAATAACCAACTACTTATTTCGTAAAAGAATTCAATTATTTTATTGTGATTTTGCCCCTTCTTAATGCAAAAAAATTGACAATAATTGAAATTAACAAAATACTTTATAATAATTAAAATTAAAAATAATTGAAAAATAATTGAAATTATAAAATAATTGAATTTAAAAACAACAGAATAATTGAAATTGAAAATAATTTATGTTAACAAAATGATTGATAATAATTTAAATTAAAAATAATAATTGAAAATAATTTAAATTAAAAATACTTCAAAATAATTTAAGTTAAAAATAATTAAAAATAATTGTAAAATAATTGAAAATAATTGGAATTAATTGAAATTAGAAAATAATTGAAAAATAATTGGAATTAATTGAAATTAGAAAATAATTGAAATTAAAAACAACAGAATAATTGAAATTGAAAATAATTTATGTTAACAAAATACTTGATAATAATTGAAATTAAAAATAATTAAAAATAATTGAAAAATAATTGGAATTAATTGAAATTAAAAAATAATTTAAATTAAAAACAACAGAATAATTGAAATTGAAAATAATTTATGTTAACAAAATACTTGATAATAATTGAAATTAAAAATAATTGGAAATAATTTAAATTAAAAATACTTCAAAATAATTTAAGTTAAAAATAATTCGAAATAATTTAAATTAGAAAATAATTGAAATTAAAATTATTTGAAAATAGTTGAATTTAAAAAGAACAGAATAATTGAAATTGAAAATAATTTATAATTAACAAAATACTTGATAATAAATTGAACTTAAAAATAATTTAAATTAAAAATTCTTCAAAATAATTTAAGTTAGGAAATAATTGAAACTAAAGTTAATAGAAAATAATTTAAATTAAAAACAACATAATAATTGAAATTTAAAATAATTTAAGTTAACAAAATACTTGATAATAATAAAAATTAAAAATAATTGAAAACAATTTAAATTAAAAATAATTTAAATTAAAAATACTTCAAAATAATTTAAGTTAAAAATAATTGAAAATAATTAAAATTAAGAAATAATAACAAATAATTTAAGGCAAAAATTATAAATTTTTACAAACAAAAATTGTAATGTATAAGAACAAGTAATTTAATTTTTGATGGGAGACGAATTAATTTGCAATTTCTGCGATATATAAAAACGAGAGTCAAGAAACGATCACCCATGTGGAAACACTTTGCTTAACTACGACGATCGCATGGCAAACCGTTCTCACCACTCGATGTTATATATATATTTTTACAGAAATTAAAAAAGCATTTAAAATTTTTTTTCCCAACACTTTTTTGATTGAGTTGATTTCAATCAAAAATAAAATAATTTTAGAAAATTTTGGAATTCAAATTTTGGATTTTTTTTTATAGACACAAAAATTGACAATTAATTATTGAATAATTTGAATTAATTTTTGAAACTCACAAACTTGAACATGTCGATTGTTTAGTGTATCTGGGAGTTTTACAGACTGATCTACTCGAAGGGTCTTAACACAAGTTTATATAGGAAAACACTTCCGTGCATTGTGATGACCTTCAAAATTCCTCCTCTAGTGGACACACCGCACCATGGGCTTTCTCCTCAAATGATTATTTTCATATACATATGTATTATATTACCACGTGCAGCAATGCACAAAACCACAATACTTAAAATTGTGTACAAAAAAAAATTTCAATTCTTTTTTTAGATTACAATTTTTTTTTTTTGTTTACAAAAATTTTATATTACACACGAGATAAAAAACTGGTTTAAGTATGATTGATTTCAATATTTTTTATTTTTTTGTTTCTTTCAGTGTATAATAAAAATATTATACACTAAAAAAATTTATTTGATTCAAATAAATTAGTTCTCTAATTGTCAAATAAATATTCACTTGCACCAAATAATTTTTAATTCAAATGAATTTTTGATTCAAGTTAATCATATTTGAACCAATAATTTCAGTATTTGAAGAAAATATAAATTAATTGACTCAAAAATTATTTAACTGATTTTGAATTAGTATCTAACTTTTTGCTTTTAAATTCGTAAATTTTATTAGTAAATTAGTAGAAATTATTATTTATTAGTAAAATTTATTAATTCAAAAGCAAAAAAAGTTAGTTACTAATTCAAATTAGTAAACAATTTTAATTTTTACTAATTTTAAATTTACATCATAATTTATTTTTTAATTTTCCCTTATTGCAGCCAGAGAAAAATTTTATTTAAACCAAATTTATATTTTTTTTAATTAGTTAATTAATTAAAATTTTTTTTTGCATAAATTTTTTTATTTAATAATTATTTTATTTGTACTTATTTTATATTTGTACATATTTTTATTTGTATAAATATTTTTTTATGTACGGATGAAAAGAGTATATAAATGATAAATGAATTAAAAAGTAGAAAATTATTATTAATAGATAATAATAGAAATTTCCAAATTTTTATCACGTAAATGATAAATGAAGATCAAAAATAATTTTACCCTTAAGGGGACATTCCAGTTCAAAACAGGCAAAAAGAAGGCTTTTTTAGTGTATATTATTAAAATAACTATGACATTTATTTAAAAAATTTCTTTTACATGTAATAAATAATTTATTTAAGAATTTGTAAAAAAAAAAAATTTTCATTTTTATTTCAAAATGGCGGCGATATACGCCATTTTTGAAAATGCCCATTTTCGGTGGTACGATCGATTCCAAACTTTCTAAAACAGATAAAACCAAAAAAGAAGTGACATTCTCTTCGTTAGATATTTCTCCAGGGGTGGAACCTCAAAAAAGTAAAATTTTCCTCCCCTTCTTTTTTTTAGGGCACTTTTTCCCCAAAACATGAAAAAAACACATGTTTTTATTCAGAATTTCTCTTATAGAAAACAAAGGAGCCGCAAATTTTCCAGTTTTTGAGGTTCCACCCCTAGCCATGATGATAATAAATCAAACGCAATTTGGTTTTTCAAAATTGGTTCAGTAGAACTCGAGCTATCACTTGTACCAGTTCAAAAAAGTACATTTTGAGAAAAACACACTTAAAGTTTTGGTTAGATAAGTTAGCACATATACCTCAAGTTAAATCGAAAAAATCAAGTTATTTTGCTAGAAAATCGTTACTCGGGGGTTTTCGAGGTCGCTGATTACGAATCCGATATCGATTTTTCGAAATTCAAAATGGCGGATTCAATATGGCGAACGATTTTTTAAAAAAATTACCCGATTGGCTTGAAAATCGTTACTCGGGGGTTTTCGAGGTCGCTGATTACGAATCCGATATCGATTTTTCGAAATTCAAAATGGCGGATTCAAAATGGCGAACGATTTTTAAAAAAAACTACCCGATTGGCTTGAAAATCGTTACTCGGGGGTTTTCGAGGTCGCTGATTACGAATCCGATATCGATTTTTCGAAATTCAAAATGGCGGATTCAATATGTCGAAATCATTTTTTAAAATTCATCTAATTCGCTCGAAAATCGTTACTCAAGGGTTTTTGGGGTCGTCGACAACGAATTTGACCTTAAATTCGTGATTAGTGACCCCTAAAAACCCTGAATAATGAGTTTTAACCGAATCTGGTGATTTTAAAAATTTATTTTACCATATTAGATCCGTTTCTTTGAATTTTGAAAATTTGACATCGGATTAAAAATTTTCAAGAAAGGATTTTTTTATGCTTACGTTTAGTCAGCCATCCCTGGTGCATACTGAAGATCTTCAAGTTCTGTCAACCTCTTCAGATGCTCTGATTGGGCCTTTTTTCTTGCTGTACGGGCTTCTTTAGAATGTTCTTCGCTTCTTCTGTTGGCTTGAGCTATGCGAGTTTTGTCGATGTTGAGGGCCCAAGTCGACGCGTAGTCACCAATTTTGATATCCATCAGATGCATAATGGCAAGATATGTTCGGGCACCCTCGTTAAAAGTACAAGCTGCGATCCAGGATGCAATTTCAACAACTTTTTTACCGACGAAGGTTGTTTTTGGAGCGATTTTCCAAATTAAGTTATTAAAGCTTTCATTGCAGTTTTGCGTATTGCCTCCAAGACATCGACTTAGTAATTCATCGCTACTAAGAGTTTCAAATATCGGCAAAATATATTTTCGAATATTTGGATCAAGTGCTGGTTTATGCTCGTACGGCTCATTTTTCTTCTGTTTCTGCAAAAATTGGCACCAGTCCGGGTTGCAGTATTCATGGCGTGGTTCAGTATCGGTGGAAATTCTATGATAATATCCAGCAAGGACTTCTTTTTTCATTTTCTCAACTGAATCGGGGAACCTTTGTATCGCAAGTCCGTAATAAATCGACATCGATCTAATGACTTTTTCAGTCAGTTTAGCGTACTTCACCGGTGGATGTGCCACAGCATCAGCTTTTGCTGCTTCGATTTCTGCTTTTGATCGTCTGCCTTTCCTTTTTACTGGTTTCTCCTTCAGTATTTCGTCCTTTTTTTCTTTTTCTTTTGACTTACTTGCTTTCTCCAAGAGTGTAATCTTTTTTTTTACGTCCATGAGCCGGCGAAACATCCTTTTGGCTACATGCAAAACGCACTCCAGTTTTGTAATGAAAAACTGAGTACCGTACGGTGCAGAATCAACGATATTTGAGTACGTTTTGCTATCTCCATCGCCAATGTAGTTACCGTAGAATACATTATGCAACACTTTTGACCTTTTAAAAATTTCAACGGCCATATCACACTCCATTTTTCCTGCAGATCCTTCGTGATTAGCTGAGCATTCGATTTTATGTTCCTCATACCACATAAGAAATTCTTCCTCATCTAACTGCGCTTTGTGTTGACTGCAGGAGAGACAAAAAGATGATTTAACACCCAAATCCAAAACTTTTCCAGAATATTTGCCGATAATTGAAAAAACACCGATGAGAGAGGTAAAACCTCTTTTCATCCAAGTTCCATCGCCCGAAACTGTCAAAATGTCGGGATGATTTCCAGTAGCTTCATTTTGTGCTTTCTCTTCTTCGGCAGCTTTTTTTGTAACAAAATCAAAGCACTTCTTGGAAGCATTATGAATTTTCGAGATAGCAGAATAGTATGTTCCTTTTGAAAAATTTGTGGAAATATCCATAAGTGATAAAAACATTTGAAGTCCATTGTATCCTATTCCGAGAACGCGCATTACAAACACTATGCGCCGATTTATCTCGTAATTATTTTTGTCAATCACTGGTGAGGATGCAATGTAGTTTTGTTTACAGGAACATCGAAGACAGATTTTGAAACCCAAACCACGATCTTTTTGCTGCAAAAACTCAATGTCCCCGTTACACGTCTTGCACTTTACAAATTTCGACAAAGCACAGAACACTAAATCAAAACACAGAATTACGTATCTTATTGCACTATCCGTTGGCGGCATCAATTCATGACTTGTTTTCAATTTTTTTGCAGATGAACTCAGAAATTCGGCGTCGATAGTATCTTCTTGTTCAATAGTATGTTGATTACCTTTAAATTTTCTTTTTTTTTCATATATATATCGTCGATTTTCACGACTACCTTTCTTATTACCACCACGGGCAAACATTTTTTTTCTCAAATTTTTTTGAAAAAAAAAATCGAACACGCGTTTTTTTAAGACACGCCAACAAAACCGACGTAAAGTGAAAACTTCTTATTATTGCGTGATAATACAAAGCATACATATCATCGCCTTACTAAAACCGATTAGGAGTGACTTAAGTTTTTTCCCTTATTGTATTTTACAAAAAAGACTTCGAATCATCAAAATTTTGGAAATTCAATATTTTTTTGCATAAAATTTGAATGTTGTCAATTTTTAACCCCTTGGCAGTCCATGGCCCATATGTGGCCAGAAAAATTCATGCCACCTTTGTAACACTGGCCATATATGACCACCTCAAAAGGAAATACTAAATATGATTCGATTTGAGTGGCAATGGGTACAGGCTAAGGTTTTTGGGGTCATTGAATCCGAATTTGAAGTCAGATTTAAAAAATTCAAAATGGTGGATCCAATATGGCGACCCAATATGGTGAATAATTTAAAAAACTGATGCGATTCGATCGAAATTCCTTTCTTAGTGGTTTTCGGGGTCGCTGAATTTAAATTTGATGAGTTTTTCAAAATTCAAAATGGCGGATTCAATATGGCGGATAATGTCAAGACTGATTCGAGTCGGTCGAAATTCGTTTCTGAGGGATTTTCGAGGTCGCTGAATTCGAATTTGATGTCAAAAATAAATAATTGATGTCAATATGGCGAAAATGTTAAATTTTCCGCCATTTTTGGTCGCCATATTGGATACGCCATTTTGAATTTTGCAAACATGACCTCAAATTCGTAATCATCGACCCCTAAAACCCCCGAGAAACGAATTTCGATCGAATCGCATCAGCTTGTTAAATTATTCACTATATTGGGCCGCCATATTGGATCCGCCATTTTGAATTTTGAAAATCGTCGAAAATATTCGTAATCAGCAACCCCAAATACATTTTATGTCTTTTCTGGAAAAGGCAAATAAGGAAACATTTTAATCATTCGAAAGGGTTCTGGTAAGTATAAAAACA